AAAGCCACAAACAGCATTAGTTTGGAGGCGTCAAAATTCTCCAAAACTCTTGCCAAGGACTCAGAAAGATAGATAAAGACTGCAGTAGCAACCCCAACTATTCTCTTGCTAGGCTGACCTGGCACCTAACACCTCCTGGGTGCTCTGAGACAAGACAGGATCCTGCTGGAAAAAATGCAGTTCTAGAAAATTCTCTTGTAAGGGCAGTAACTTTACATAACCCATGAGAACTAACTACAAAATCTCAGCTCACTATGTCCTTGGAAAATGAAAGCACTGACATGGAAATCTCCCTTACTCCAACAGGAAGGGAAAACTTTTCCACCTGATAATAGATCCACCTGACCTACAAGCACAGTGAGTAATGCAGCTCTACAGAGGAGAGCTATAGCAGGGACTGCTGGCTTGGCTGAGAGCCCTTGAGACAGCTCAGCTCCTACACAGAGATCTTTCAATTTCATAAGATGCAATTCAGCTTGCTGGCTTATATGAATCATACAAGCATGTCAATGGAGCCATTTTTAAAACCTTTTTATTTTTTTTACAATCAAAATGAAGGCATATTCAGACCTTTTCCTGTGAAGAGCTGAAATAGAGACAGGCTATTTTTGTCTCTTAAAAGCGTGATGCATTTGTGACATATCAACACTGCAATCTGTATTATTTTTAATTTTATAGTTTTAGAATTTTTATTTGAACTGGTCACTTTAAAATATCACCAAACCCATAACTCTGAGTAATTTCTTTAAAATGTGTAACAACACTTGAGAAACTTCACATGTACATCAGTGGCAAAGAAATCTTTGTCTGTGAATACCGTACCTCAGGGAAGGTAACTTCCTTTACTAGTATGCAATTCTTCCCACAACCAAAACTTAAAATTCTGTTGTAGAAATACCCAATGTCTTACAGAGTCAGAAACCTTGAAAGGCAGCTGACAGTCTACATCATATGACATTATGCATCTGAATCTCTAAAAATAGCACGTGGATCTCCAATCAGGATTTGAGAACAACATGATTTGTAGGGTATGTTCAGCAAAACTAAAGCTACCTTTGTACGAGAAATTTTCAGCAACACCTGCATATTGTCCTATCACCTTTCCTATTCTGAATTTTATATCACTCTGCCTGGTCCCAAAGGTGCTGCAAAAGCCCTTGTGCTACTCATACCAGGGTCAGGTCTAACCCTATTTTCAGGGTTACTACTCAGCATACTGTAACAACTTTGCTTCTTTGCCATTTCTTCCCACTGGTTCTCCTCAGAAAATTTCCTGAAAAATTTCCCCCTTGTGAATGCTGTGAAGTTGTTTCTATTTTTCTGATTTAGTCAAAATATCAGCTAGAAAATAAGATTGAAAAGAAAGAGAAAGAGATGACACATGACGTTGTGGTAAGAAATGCAGGCTTCAAAATGGTAAGGAGATTAGGGTATGGGTATGGGTTCCCCTCTTCTGGTGCTCTCTGTCAGCCATTAGAAAACATAATCATGAGGGAAAGGCACAGGGAAGGAAATAATTCAAAACTTAATTGAAAATATTTCATAGAAAATAGTTAAATATTTTATTTTATAGCTGCAGCTTCAAAAGCAGCTACTGCAATCAAATGCAGTTTTGCCAAGGTTAGCAGTTTCAGTAATAGGAAGTTCATCTTCCTCATCTCCTTCTGAATGAGCAAGCAAATAGAGCTGCTGACATGCCAGATTATCTATTTGTCAAATTTAAACTTAATCCTAATATAAACCACACAGCATCTTGTTGAAATAGACCCATTAGATGTGGTTCAAACTTGCTGCTCGGACTTCATGCAAATGAAGATCTCTAGACAGGCAAGTTTGGCCCAAGGCACTGTGAACCTTCAGTCAGGTCCTGGTGTTTTTGCAAATTCAACATTTCTGCAGCAGTTTAAAGGAAGTCCATAAGTAGCATTTAAGTAATATAAAACACAGCAATAAATAGTCAAATTCATCAGTACTGTTTAAGAATAATGAGTCACGGACAGACTCAGTGTTGCTGTGTTTCATAGTGGGTTTTTCTTCCCTCAGTTTGAAATGACCCATTTGCAATGGGCCACTGAACACTGTACTTCAATTCATGTTCTTGACATATCTTTCACACAAAGTCTCCAAACACCTCATAAACATTAATAAATTAAGCTGCAAGAGCAATAATAATTTCAGCTTCACATTCATAGAACCTAAGTCTCAAACTCTTCCTGAGTATCCGTGGCAGATCTAAAAATGAAATTCAAACTTCCAATCACTTTGAATTAGGCTTCTCTATTAAAGCATGCAATCAGACAGTCTGATTCAGGTTGGATGAGATCTCAGGAGACCACCTCCAAGCAGCACTGTCTACTGCTCTACACCAGGCTGATCACAGCTTCATCCAGCCAAGGCTTGGCTACCCTCAGGGAGGGAGGATACACCACCAATGGACAATCTCTTCCAGTCTCTGACCACCTGCACGGGCAAGACATTTTCCCCTTGTCTCCAGGCAGCATCTCCCCTCGTTCAACCTGTGCCCAGTATTTTTTCCTTGCACCATTTCTGAGCTCCTCTGAGAAGAGTCTGGCTCTGCACCCATCCAGCTCCCCTCAGGAAACAAAGTGTCCATCAAGACCCAACTCAGCCATCCCATCTCCAGGATGAAGAAACAGCCCCTCGGCCTCTCCTCCTGTGCCATGATCAGTCTGATGGCCCTTCATGGGCTCCTTCCCATTGGTCAGCCTCTGTCTTGTCCTGGGATCCCCAGCTTGGCACAGGGACTCCACAAAGAGACTGTCAGAACCAAGTGGAGGGAAGGACCCTTTCCCTGGACCTGCTGGGTGCAGCGGTGCCAGCACAGCCCTGGGGCTGGTTGGCCACCCTTGCTGCAAGGACACACCACTGACCCTGTGCAGCTGCTTGTACAACAGCACTCAGGGCCTTTTGGGCAGAGGTGCCTTTCTCCAGGCTCCAGGAATATCCCCCAGGCTTGACCTTTCAGTGATGGCAGACAGCAGCTTCATGATGACACACGACAGCATCCTCAGATGCCTCCAGTGTATCCTGGCTGCTCCTGCAGACCAGCTTATTTAAATAGACCCTAATTCCATCCTCCCCTACTGTGGCTGCTCCCTCCCTCCCTCGAGTTTTGCTTCTAGGCCTGAGACTGGGCAGACTCTGAAAGTAAAGGCTGCAGTTTCATGGAGCAGTGCATCCATTTGACTGGTTTCCCTTCTCATTTTTACTGCTGATACACTTGTAGTAGCCATTTTTATGTCCTGCTCATCCCTCACCAGTTTTGATTCCAGACAAGCTCTGAACTTCCTCGTTCTGCTCCTTCAAGCCTGGACTAGCACTTTTCTGTTGCTTCCTGTAGCTTGTCCCTACTTCTATCTCCCATCTGCTTTCTTTTTGCATTTAAGCTCAGGCAGGGGCTCATCTGTCATCTCAAGTTTCCATTAGCAATTTCCCCCCTAATTTCTTTGAAATCTTATACCCAGTGGCACAACTTCACTTCAACAGCGTTAGAATTTTACCACCCTTGGGAAATTGCTACTGTCAACTTTGTCATCTTGATAATAAAATTTTGGTTTTCTGTCATTGTTTATTACAAATAAATGCTTATGCTATAAATTATTTTATATAATTAAGATGAACCTAAAAATACTTCAGTTTGATACACAACTACATCTGCATCATCTTACAGCAGCAGCCCCTGAAATGTGATGAAACAATACTAATTCACTGTGACAGGAGATATAACTTAGTCTTTCAACACAGAATTTTAGCAACTGAAAAATGCTTTCCAATCATCTCCAGCAGCACACAGGAACATCCATCAGTGCTATTTTCACTTTTCAGAATTAAAATAGGTACATGCAAACTCTGTAAAATTTTGCCTTTCCAACATACCTGTAAAGAACTGAAGGTTAAAGAGAGCACTATCCAAGAGAGTCCTTCTGGAAAGCATTAACTCACAAGAAAGAGAAAAGAATAACATTTTTGAAAGGACATGAGAAAATTTTCAAGCCTGTTTTCCTAACTTTCTGGACAAGATATTTATACTCAAACCCTAAACACTGCTTGCTGTAGTCTGAAGCATGGAGACACAGTTAGGAAAACCAACAAATATGAAAATAATATGACAGCAAACTTACATTCCTGTTGAGAAATAGCTTTCATTAGGAAACATTTGCACCAATTTCTGGTATACATTGTTTAAGATGGCTGACTGAGCAGTTATCTTTAAGCTTGGACTCAGTGATCTTAAAGGTCTTTTCCAACCTAAATGATTCTATGATTCTAAGACGTGGAACATACTAAAGTGGTTACTTCCATATATTTTTAAAAAATGCTTGCAAGCGAAACTGAATGCATGCTAGATCATTCTCTCTTTTTCCACAGTTTAATGTTAACAAAAACTTGGCACAGGTACTTAATGAATTTACATCCATCTCCCACTCTGCTTTCCATCCCTGTTCCAAACACTGATATGCTCAGGATCTAACTTCTCCTTCCTTGAGAAACATCCCTAACAGCATTTCCCCCCAAAATTTCAGGAAGTATATCTTTCCAAACACCCCAAAGCTCAAACCCAGACTCACACTGTTCTGCTCACTATCCGAAGATGCTTTTATTTCAATAACAAACTGCCCACCTGGTGATTCTAAACTAACGCTTCCTTTCCCACTTCTCTTCTTACAGACTGTTTCTTCCTCTTCCCTAAGAAATGTGTTGCAATAATAACAGTATCTCCCACTCTTCTGTGATGACAGCTTATGCCCAGTTCTGTATTCCTGCAAAACTCCCTCCTCACTTACTCACACGGGATCTCTTTGAGTTCTGGGTAACCAGATTTTCCCAACGCCTTCACAAAGCCTATCACTGTGACATTACTTTGTATATCTTAAGAGCTATCTTTGTCCTTCTGGTTGTCACTTCCCCAAGGCAAAGGCAATGTTTTTCCACAAGTTCTCTTTAGTGCTGATTATATCACACAGATAATTTTTAATTACCTTTCTGTTCAGAGCCACACCATCTTCACAGTCCAACACCGCACAATCTACATTTAGTGATGGGATTTTTCTTATCTTCTTTTCATCATCTGCAGGTACATACAGCACAGCCCGTCTGGGAACATACTTGTGTGATGATGCAAAGTGATAACTAAGCTTAGGAACACCAGCTGGCAGAGGAGAATCCACCCTGTAAAGGATATTGTTGAAATTAGATTATTGGCAATTTACAGCAATGCTGTAAATAATACGTGACTATATTTTAAAAGCAAAACATTCCTACCTAGATGGTGGCTGGTTTTGGGCTATTTATATATATTTTTCCCCTTTGGAAGAGCAAAGTTAGGGAGATATCAGTATTACAGTTAATTACAATATAGAACTCCAAAACCACTGTGTTCAATAGAAGTTGCAAATTTAATCATAATTGAAGACCTGACAGGGCTGAGGCTTATCCATGCAGCCTTAATTACTGCTTGTTCTGGGTGCTATGGTTAAGTATGAAATATAGAAAGGTGGTGGTTGGCTTTTTCCCTGTCATAGGACTCCTCTGTAGGATGCAGAAAATGCTAGGAATGGGTCAGGACTGCTCTGGGGAGGAGAGGCTGCTATCTGCCACATTTCCTCCAGGAGCTGGATGCCATGCTGTGAATGAAGCAGGGGTGCTGCTTAAAACAAACACAGGTTTGTGAAGTTCATTTTGCAACCTTAGCATTATATCAACAAATGCATTTGCATACAAATTTTAAATAAGCAAAATGGATGGAGGGGAAAATGAAGAAAACAGAATGAAACCCCATGTAGTGAGGAACCTCACTACTCTCTTCAGACCTTCAGATCCACAGCACAGACTTCCATTGAGAGAGTTCATAAACACACCAGCATCAGCAGCAGGTTTTTGGCTGTGGTGTCTTTTAAAATTTGTAAATGCTTTGTGCACCACACTTCAGTGCAGGTGTGAGTGCCACATGGCTTGAGAGGATCACATCCCTGTGGCCCGTAGGTGTGAGGTCTGGGGTGGTCTCCACCATGTGCTGACATTCCTGGTGAGGGCCCAGCTAACCAGGCAGGAGCTGGGTTAGTGCACTTGGAGGCTGTGGGACTGCCAGTGGAGGCTGCCCTGGAGTGCTGTGGGGAGCTTGCTTTGCTCCATAATTTCAAGCACAGAGAAATAAATTACAGAGAGTGCCACTGTGTTTCTTGGCCTTCCAAAAAAAAAAAACCCTTGCCTGCTCCTGTTCCTCCCCACTGCATGCCATACCCCCTAGGCCTATCCTGCTACACCAAAGATGAGGACAAAATAATACAATTTGCCTTCATATTAAGCACAAGGCACTTACACCACAAAATAATCCCACCATATAACACCATTATGCATTATCATGTATATTATTCAGCACTTTGAATAATGCAAAGCTTTCCTAGCACCATGCTGAACATGTCATTATCACATCATGTCAGGGACCCATGCATTTTCCTATGCCCCTCTTAATAATGCTTCCTAAGTTGCTAGACTTGGATGACACATGGCTACACACACATGTGGGTTTTCTTCAAAGCAAATATGACTAACACTCTCAAATTCTTGGAAATGAGTTCAGTCAATCTAAATCAAAGCCAATGTGGTTTGTCACTGACAGACTGCTGTAATATTCACCTTTCTAAGCTCAATCTGTTGAAGAATCCTCTCTTCCCTAGAATGTGCATCCTAGAAGTTGAATATAAGACTTGGGTTAAAAATATGAAGAAAGTCTTCATCACATTTTACCTCAGCAAACTAAATTGAAAAGGAAAACTATCTCATCTGCTGCATCTCTGCCTATCCTGTGTGGATCCACATTTAAAGCCTACAAAAACCACTGCCAGGCTCTTCTTTGCAACATGTCTGGTAATGCTTAATTCAGTTTAAGAAACGGGACAACTTGGCAGTTATATAGAAATTCTTTAATTAAAAGTGCCAGTATTACCCTTGTTAATAACAGCAACAGCTTCAAGACTCAGGTGGTGGAGGTCCTATCAACACCTATAGACATGCAACTGAGATTCACTGAGCCCTTCCAAGGTACTCTCTTTGCCTCTCTCTCACAAAGTACTTCATGTTCCCTGCTTCAGGCTGAAGTGGGGATGGTAACAGAACTTGTGGCAACTCAAGTGGCTGCTAGACAAATCCACTTATCTCATTTTCTTGCAGGAGCACACTTTGGGAGAGCAAGGACGAGGTGGAAGAGTGGTTTATCTCAAATGGAAAGAAGAGGATCTTTTTTTCAGCGTGACACAGAGGTCAGTAAAGAAGTCTGCAGTCCTTCCCTAAACATATATGAGGGAACAAAAGTGATTAGTTTCTATTCTCTTTCTCTGATGGCTTCAGCCTTGTGGTTCCCAAGGGCACAAAGGAATCAAAGAGCTCAGCCCATTAATAGTTAACTCCAGCCTAGAGCCAAGCAGCCCCTGAAGCACCCTTAATGACTGCCTCTCACCAACCTCCAGCCCGACAGAAACCTGATAGACACGGCTAACACCATAATCTCAGAGCATGCTGAGATGAGATGTATCTTCTGTCACACACGTTTCCCGGGATTTCTTCTGGGCTGTCATCAAACCAAGGGCTGTTTGACCAGCCGTTTTCCCTCTCACTGCTGCAAGCCCCATGAAGGCAGCCCTGCTCTCCATACCACACACAATGCCGTGTACTGGTGTGTAGGTGAAAGCACCATTACCTGCAGACCAGACTTAGTCAGGTGTCACCATCCAGGTCTGTAAATTTGTGTTTAGATGGAGGAACAGTACAGCTTCCTCAGCAGACCACCTGACTCCAAACAAGTGATAGATTTAATCCATTAAAACACCATCACTTAATAGGATAATGCTGGAAATGCAACTGCCTGGTCAGTATTTGGATCTCCTCCTCAGCTAAACAACTTTGTAGCCACAAAGGCTCAAACAACAGGTTTCTCTGGACACAAGTTATTTTTAAAAATATACTGTTGATGTATCAAATTATTAATTCTATGGGATATCTTAGCAAGTTGAAGAAGAAATAATTTTTTTCAAAAGGTATGGCCAGGAAAAAAAATATACAGCAGGAGCTGGTGTCAGTGGACCAACACAGAATCCTTCTCCTTTCAAAACTAAGAGCTCTAGAAATATTCATATTAAATAAGAGTTTTCAGCAAGTATCTTTAGGTATGACTGCAGTAAAGGGTATCATATGCTAATTCTTTGACACATATTCTTTAATCATCACTGTGCATTTTCCTTGCAATGTCATATTTTATGTTCTACAATAAAAAAGGAGAAGAAGACATGAATTAATTAATAGATCTGTTTGTCTATAGGCTTATTTTAAACAGTGGCAAGGCTTGGGGTGCTCTGTATATGAGCAGTTAGCTAGTCTGGTAGGAAACATACTCCTGATTATCTTGACTTCTGTTATTTTGATAGAATAAAAAAATCCCCAGCAGTTGCTTTTTTAGGACAAAAAACCCACACAGCACTGCAGTCTCGATTATACTGTTAACCCTGTGCCATAAAGAGGAGGAAAATCTTACATATATTTCCTGGCTCCAAGTATTTTAATGATTCAAACTAAGCTTGACTATGCTTTAAACTAAACACATGGACAAAAGCCAAGTGAATTTGCTAAGACAATGTTTCTTCCTTTAAGCACTGTAAGTTAAAACAAGGACTAGGCTATTGGGTAATGCTCATTAAATTGTTTTACAGCAGCATATTTTCATTCATAGCATCTGGCAGCATGCTGAGTGCTCTTGGGTCTTGGAAATAAAACTAAATTTCTTCAGCAAACATAACACTCTACTAAAGTCTTCATCAAATATGTAAAAGTAGCTGGCAAGTTAAAGTTACTCGTGGTCCTCTGAGAACCATTTCACCCAAGAGTGAATAGTTCATCCTCAGGAAGGAGAAAAGAAAACCTATTTGACTACTAAGAGACACTGCAGTTTGCAATGGCAGCCATACAGCGTGACTGCGAACAGTGAAATTACCCCAAATTATGCAAATTTCCCTGCTGTAAGCTTCATTTTCACATTCCAGCATTGCTCATACTCATACTTAACTGCACACACCTGTGCAGTCACACTGGAGCCAACAACATATAGCTCACAAAGTAAAGTACTCTCACAAGTGATTTCCAGCACTTTAACCTGTGCCTCGGTTCTCTGATTATTTGCTAAATCAAATCACCCCTGGAAGATCTGCCAAACACATAGAAAAATATTCATTGCTCAATAGGCCAAGTCTTTCCTTCTTCCATCTTTGGCATAGTGTTGGCAAAGTGCAAAGAGCATTTTTAGACATTTCACTAAAAGTATTAAAAAATCTGGATAATTTCCACAACATGTATTTTTGACCTCTGTGCATGTAACTGCATACCATGATCTCTGTGTAGCTGTGGAAGAAGGACAGAAGTGATCCAAGACTCACAATAGCCCCTGAACAAGACCCAGCTAATGCAGGAAAACCTCTTACAAATTATTTCTGCAACATGTGCAAAAAAAACCCCACTTCGGAGAAAACATAATGGCTTTCCTGTGTTGAATTTACCGGGGAGTAGCACACCACTGCAGACAAATAATCTGCCAAAAACAAAGGAAACTTATACGGAATTACAAAGCCGCGCAATTTGCATAGTAATTCTTTCTAATTAAGAAAAGAAGATACAAGTTGTTTGTTATAAACATCAGCAGGCCCTGTGCAAATACGAAGGGCTCGCAGCCGCGCTGAGTATTTGTCGAATCAAAGCGACTCGCTGGAGAGTTTTATTGGTACAGCTGCGGCGCATGCATTTTATCACACATGCTAATAATCCTGGTTATGGCACTAACATTTTAATCATTTGTTCTCTGGGCTTGTTTCTCAAACAATTAGCACTAATGAATGGCCAAAATACCTCGGATCATATATGTCTAATTGCAGTCAAGAGCGGTTATTGTCCGCATGTACATTTCAATTCACCTCTGGGGATAATGTTTGTTAATTGTATTTCTTTATATAGCAAGTGAAAAAAGGCTGTTCACTCAAAAAGGGACTAAGTGTTCTCTTCTTTCCCTTTGTTCCCACAAGAAGCTAAAGTCACTTCAAGAGGCACTTAATCCCATCATCCATGGTTACAATTGCCTTACAGCATCAATCAAAAAGAATCTGAAGTAAAATGATGCAGCTATATTGTGTAATTAAAAGCAATTCAGGTAGTTATTACTTGGGGCATTTTCCAGGTCCAAATACTTAAAATGGCACTGCGGGGATTCTAAATACTGTAGTGTTTTAAATTTGGTGAACTACAATATCTCACAGAGAAAGGGAAGGAATATGCAAAAAAAAAAAAAATCTCCTAGTGTGTATTGTAAAGTGAAAGAAAAGAGGAGGAACAGCTAACGTTTGAAGTGACAAAATCTACAAGTCTCCATATAAAAGGGAAATAAAAATATCAAGAAGAGAGAAAAGGGGAGGAAAAAGAAAAGGACAGCAG